TCCTTCAGATTCAGAAGTATCACTTGAAGGTTTTGAGCATGAAAAATACTCAGATTCAACATTTTCCTCTTTAACTTTTGACTTTTCAAAATTTCAATTTTATTCAAAAATTCTTCTTCTTCTTCTTTTTAAAACGAAAGCCTTTCTTCTTTTAAGATCTTTCCCAGTTAAACAACTTGTTTTTCTAAAATCAAAGTTGGAGATAAAGTTTTTGTTTAACATGTTTTGATTCAAGTTCTGCTTTAGAATAACTGTCAAAGTAATATGTTGAAAGAGCAGGAACTTGATTTTCATAGCTTTCATTTAATTCAGAATAGTCAAAAGGAACTTGCATTTTATCTTTTCTTTTCCTATTCAAATCTTCTTGTTCTTCAACCTCATTTGAAGATTTTGTAAACCAAATTTGATATTCTGGACCGAGGTCAAGATATTCAAATTTATATATTGTTGGAGTATAATATAAAGCTTTCTTCAAACAATTCGGATTTTCATAGCCTAACCCTTCCCTGGGATTAAAAAAATCTGGTCTCGATAGGCTTGGTTAGAAAAATAGTTTGATCAATTTGCCATCTCTTATCCAACTTTTCTTAACTGTGCTTTCAGTTTTTCATTCAAAATCTTATTTTGTAAAGTAAGAGTACTGTTCTTAACCATCAGATCATCATTTATTAACTCCAAAGATTTATATTTATCATAAGAGTCAGAGAATTCACTTTTCAAGAGATATGATTTTTCAGAAAATGTTTTGCTCTCAGATAACAAAGACTGAGCCCATGCAAAATTTTCAGCGTTTTCACTATTCAACTTAAGGTATTTTATCTTGTTGCATTTTAAGATCTTTTTCTAAAGTTGCAACTCAATCTTTTTCAAATTTGAGTTTTTGCTGAAAGTCTTGTAATTTGAGCATCATTCTTTTTATCTGCTCAATGCATGAAGATTCAAGTACCTCATCACTTGATTTTGCTTTCTCCTCTTCATTATCCTATATATCTGTTTTAGTCCTTGCCATCAAATAGATATGAGCAACAACATCTGATTCTTCATCTTCATCAGTGAGATTCAGTCAGTGATCATCCTCAACCATCAAAGCTTTACCTGCATCCTTTTGTTTTGAAAGGAGGAACTTAATCTTATAGTAATCAGTGTTTTTGGACACTGGTTTTCTACAATTCACAACGAAGTGTCCCAACTTTCCACAGTTATAATACTTCGTATTTTCATCCGCCACTCATTTCACAAACCTCTTCTTCTCATTAGTCTTCTTGTCAAATTTCTTCTCAAACCTTTTCTCTTCATACTTCTTCTTCTTCTCTCCAAACTTTTCTTTGAATTCAATTTCTAACCAGAGAAAATATTTGGTTGTTCGAATGTGGTTTCTTGTAAAATTTCTTTTGAAACGCTTTTGCCAGCATGACCATTGTCTGCTTTACCTCCTTCATTTCAGAATCAGAATCAGTTTCGTTGTTGTCTTCATTAGATGACTCACTCGTCTGAACAACTTCTTTTACATGCTTGCCAAATCTTGTCTTACTCTTCTTCTCAGAAACAAATGCTAATGGATCACTAACTTCTTTCTCTTTCTTCTTCTTCAGGTCTCTAATCTCCATCACATCTACTTCATTCTGCTTTAACGTTTCATGTACTTCGTGAATGTCAATATCAGATAATGATTTGTTATATATGATATTGTTTGCAAATGGTTTCCACTATGGCTGTAGATTGCTCAGAAACTTGACATTGATTTCAATCCTTGTCTTTATGATTTCATTCTTTTTCAGCTCATTCAGAAGTCTCGTTAACCAATCATACACATCATCAGGACTCTCTCCCTCCCTAGCCATGAACTCTTCATAGCTTGTGATATAGTTAGTAACTTTCAATTGAGTTCCCACCTTGGAACCCATAATCATCCTTTCAATCTGCTTCCACATACTGTTTCCAGAAGATTTGTAGCTATCAATACTTGTAAATATCATTAGTTAACACTTTCATCATGTAAGATTTACACAGTACATCAGCATGTGCTCTGGCTTGTTCACTAGCACTGTATTTGGATTTTTCTTTGACCACAATTTCAGCCGGTCTGTTTTGTTCTGAAATTGCTGGTATTTCCTTCCAGAAAACAGCTGGACCATCCATCAGTGATTCCATGATCAAATCTCCTTCCTTCTGTCTCTCTATAAAGTTCAGAAAACGATCTCTCCATTGATTATAGTCACCTCTGAAAAGAACAGGAGGTTTTGTATTTGTTCCAATAGTCATTGCTTCTTTTGAACTCATTTTGTCTGATTTAAGAAAATGGATCTCTGCAGTTCAAGATTTTGATTAAAAAATTAATATTCAAAAGACTTTATCAAAAATTCACACACACATATTTCATTCACTCGAATACGGTCAAAATACACTAAGCCTTTTATCCGGATAAAGTCTCCAGATGTTGTCTCCGGATAATGTCTCCAGACAACAAAGTCAAACAACAATCAAAAGATATCAGACAAGGTGTCTCCGGACAAGATGTCTCTGGACACTTAGAATTAAGAAATGACAAAATCTTATCCAACAGAATCACGTATACGCACAATTAACAATACAAATATAACAATCAATAAGCAACACTTGCCAATTATCACAATCAAATTTGGATGATGATTTCACCGGATAACTATGAATCTGAACAATGTATCAATCACATACACAATATCAATCAAAAACACAAAATACAATCCGGATAACAAATCTAAACACAATCAACCAACTTGACCGAATTCTACAAATACGGACAACACACAAAATCAATAACCGGATATGACAAATTCGGACAACAAACAAGAAAAATTCAATGTCCGGATATCACTTAATTTGGACAATAGGCAAAGTTCAATGACTGGATTCGCTGGATGAATATATTCAATGAGCGATGAATGACAAACACAATTTCTACCAAAAATTCACCACAAAATCGATCAAACTCACAAATTTTATGAATTTTAATACGAACAACAACTTTTCAGAAACTTCAAAAATTCTTCAAAATTTGACAATTAATCATCAATCACAGAAATTGTTTGAATACAATGATTCTAAACAATAAACCACACAATATTAGCAACAAATCAAAGATCAAACAACAACAATTAGATGATTTTAGATGAGAAATTGAAGAATATGATAAAAAAAATCTCAAGAACACTCAAGAACTCAATGAAGAACAATCCGAAAATGTGCAGAATTTCCAGATTTCTGTGCAAATTTTCTCGATTTCCATGCAGTTTGCTAATCAAAATCGTTGTAGTTTGCTCTAATACCAAATGAGAATCCCAAATCTTCAAATCAGATACAATCAATCAAGAACAGAAATTGAATATAGAGAGAACTTTCACCAAAAAAAATTTGTATTCAAATTCTTGAAGATTACAAAAATGATTACTACTTCTAAAATTACAAGGAGAATAACTATTTATACCCACAAAGATTTAAAGACAAAAAAAAAAAAAACAAAATGGAGAAACACTTGAATACAACATTAAGCACAACTTAAACCCAACATAATTCATGTCTATATATATGGTTGTGTTCACGTAAGACCATTTTATTTTTGTGAGACTCGTGAGATCACATTTTTGTACTTGAAATTTCACAGCAAAACATTGTGAAGGTAAAAAAAATCCGAACATTCACAATAGAAACATATGAAGGATACATTCATAGTGTTCTACTGTGAAGTTTCAAATGTAAAAAAGTGGTCTTACGGATCTCACAAAAACAACATGGTCTCACATGATCCCAAATCTCTCTCTCTGTATATATATATATATATATATATATATTGCTTGGAGCTCCAATGAGACTGAGGAATGAACAATTAAATAGCCTGTGAGGAATTCGAGCTCCAGTGTCTACTGCAACATACATATGCACACTTGAGGCAGTAACAAACCCAAATCAAAGTGTGTTTTAATATGATTATATATGTGTGTCTTTGAGAGAGAGATGGAGAAAAAATATGAGTGAGTGTGTGTTTACTTCAATAGAGAGAAATACAATCGGAGAATGGAGAATTGAGCTTTTCCAGTTTGCATGCAAGCCACGGGGATATCCACTTTTAATGCATAACGTTAGAAATCGATGATTACTTGAATAAATTCCTTGAACGAAGAAGAAGGCTGATAGTAGGGACGTCAACTGCGGAAGAAGGTTTGAATGACATATGGTTGAAACTATATAAGCAAATGTTCTATCCTTCTGGACCTACAAATTTCTTAACTTTGGAAATCATACAACCAACATATTTGAGAGTCAACATTCTAAGCTGAAAACTATATTTGGACTCGAAACAAGTGTAACAACCCATATTCGGGCCTAGATGTTAGTACAATAAGAAATCGTAAGTGCATGAGTGGGATTCAATAGAGTTCGGTGCATATCGGAATTTTATAACGAGTACATTCAATACTAGGTTCTCGGTTACATATCGGGTTCGAAAAAGTAATATATAATATTAATCTATAATAAAACGATGTTGATTGACATAATCAATTTTCTAATCGGTTAACTATCATGTGTTGTCGTGTCGGCGATCAAATAATTATTTAAATAGAACAAATGAATGTTTTATAAAGTTAGTGTATGGATTTTGTAGAATTAGAATGTAATGTTATCAGACTTGACTATCTGTTTCATTTACAAACATTAAAATAAAATCTGTTAAAAAAATTGAAATTTATTTGTTTGGTCCATATAATATAGTTTTAAAATTAAAATGAAATATTGATAAATGAACAAAATATCTTTTTTAAAAATAATAGCATTGACTTGGGGTAAAAAACAATTGACTTCCCCTGGAAACAAGGGTAAAGGAAAGGGAATGGGCCCATGGGGAGGAAAGATGGACTTGAAAAGCATGGGTATAATGGTAAATGTACACATGTATAACGGCTATATGGCCGACCCTGTAAAAGCAGCCCACCACGCTCCATAAGAGCAACTCCAAGATCTGCTCCAGAAGAGAGTAACCCCAGTTCATCGCTTCCAGATCTGCTCCGCCCAAGCCATGAACATCTTCAAGAAGAAGACATCACCCAAAGGCACTGTCATTTCCTTCCTTTTCTTGCATAATTTCTCTACTTTTTGTGTAATTTCTCTTTTAGTTTTTGAGAATTTTATCAATGTCTTGCTTTGTTCTACTCCCTTCCTACCCTAATCCGAGTCTTTAACTCTTCAAATTTCGCGAAGGTTGAGTATACATGTTGCTGTTATTGTGAGTGGTAAGAGGTTTTTGCTTAATTTCTTCACTTTTACACAAAATGGTATACTTTTGGGGAAGTTTATCCCCTCTTTTTCAAAATAGATGTAATCGCGGGAACGAGGGAGCATGATGGAAACGCATTTAACCTACATTTATCTAATTGCTGATTTAGGTTGCAAAAATTTCTTGTGTTGTGTTTGATGGATAGTGTAATAGTTCAGTAGTGACCAGTTAAAATGTTTACTTATTCATGAATGGGTTGGTGTGAGTATAAGTTTTGTTTTATCTCTTTTATGATAATTTGCTTCTTGGTATGTTAATCTACAGATGCACTGAGAACGAGCAAAAGAGAAATGGCTGTCGCCACTCGTGGTAAAGATGATTTCTTCTTATACTTAATTTTAGAAAACTATAAGTTCTTTCTCGAAATGATCTTCGGAGTTGAGTTTTTGTTTTTTATTGAAGGACCAAATCTGTTGGTAAAGTAATGTGGTTAGTACCTTTGTTTTAAAATTGCAAATACGTATTAGGTAATAGATAAACACAGACGCTCGCTCTATCTTGTATGCCATATCTGAATTACATTAAACCATTAGTAGTCAAACATCTTCTGCTTTATGTAAATCTTACCATTCAAGTATGTGTTTCTAGGTATAATGCTCACAAACTGAGAATTTCTGCTTACCAAGATCATACAAACACTCGTGTAGAAGCTAACATGTCCCATTCTCTTTTATCATGCATGATCTTCTAATTGGCCACACATACTATGGGCTCAATCATGTCATATTGGTTGTGCTTCATAACCTACATTTAGTATGATTTTTATCACATTTTCTTGTATTTCAGTCCTTCTTACAATCCCATTTGTCATATGGGTTGTTCTTAACTTCTTTTCTTTCCCATAAGAGCTTCTCGTCTTCTTGTTATGCTTAATGAAATGTTAAGTCCCTTGAACTTCCACATTATAAGGACTACGCCCCACCCTTGAAACTATCTTTCTTGCATTCCAAATTTCCTATCATCTCTACTTCTTGGTGCTTCACCAGAAAGACGTACGACAAAAGATTACGTTCCTTCCATTGCTGTAAGGTTTTATACATATGGCTATACCCTTGCACATTTATGAAATCCAGGTGCTGTTATATAATGTTGCTTAATGGAAATGGTTTTTACAAAGAAAATTTTCTATTATTTGAGGTGCGATGGCTTACCATACTTGGAGCACCATATTTGGATATGCTCTTTATCATTCTTTGATCCAGCTTTTGGTTTCATCCAACCTTTTTGAAGACCCTACGGGCGATGGCCAACATAATTGTTAAAGAAAATGCTTCAAAGTGATGACTAACACTGAAGTAATTTTCATAAGTGAAACTAGCAGGAGCGATGGCTTACCAAGCTTGATGCACCATATGATATACTTTTATAGGTCTTTTATCTAGTTTTTGGTTTCATCCAACCTTTTTGAAGACCCTACAGGGGATGGCCAACGTCATTGTTAAAGAACTTGCTTTGCAGTGAAGTGATTTTCGTAAGTGACCTCTAGCAGGAGAAACCAACATAAAGCTAAATAAAAAACTCTGTTCGAGTTCGTTAAAGTGCTTTGGACGACGATATAGGGCTCTAATATACGATACTAATAGCAAAACAATGAACATGAGAAGCATCAAAGACAAGTACCATGATGCAATTACTATTGGAGTTACATTATCTTATATAGGTTTTATATATTGTTTCATTGCATGATGATCTCTATATGATCATGATAGATGCAACTAATGATATGGACACACTTTTCAAGAATTATCTTTTCATGGTGTTGGTTATGAATCCTATGGGTGGCCTTGGTCCGATACCAAGTTTTTTTCCCCAATACTGTGTACCAACCAATTATAATTAAGGGTGGCAATTTTGTACCATACCAAACCAAACCAGACCAGACCAAACCAGACCAAACCAACTAACATATGTACTAGCCGACTACAGTTGGTTGGTAGTACCGTACCAAGGTTGGTACACGGTATTGGAAGTCGTGTACCACGATATAACTTGGTACAGACATTTAATTATTTATTAATTAAATTGGTTTGTACATGGTATCGGAGAAAAAATACCTTATCGAGTCCACCCCTCCTTATAGTTGGTAGGCAAAATTCTATATTGTGTACCAACCAACTGAACTTGGTATCAGCTTTCTTCGTCTGCTACATGTCGGTACTGGTTTTATACCAACTTCAACTTACATATATGAAAACTTCATATTTTGTTAAACTTTTGAGTGACATTTTCTAGTTTGCAGGTAGCACATGTCATTAGGGTTTTTCATTGCAAGGAACCAAGGAATAAAACTTGCAAGCATCCAAACACTCGAAACAAAAAGAAGCTTAAAGTCACAATGTTTTAATGTTCAATACATCAAAAAGACAAAAACTAATACAAACATGGAGGTTCACCTGTATTTATTACTATTTGCTTTGTTACTTGTATTTACTGCTATCAAGGGTTAAACAAAGGAATAATTAGTGATAATCTTACGCTTTTGTTTATTGTGCAGTTGGAGATGGTTAAAATTTCTATTAGGTTCAATGATAAGAGTTGAATTAAGTGGTACTCTGGGTTAAAGAAAGGGCCTAGAGTGAAATTTCTTCTTTTTAGTTTAGTCTATTGTGGTTAAACTAGATATATTTGTTTTAGAATATGAGAGGTCCGTGTTTGAGGTTACTCTGTTTCTCATTCCTCATTCTAACCTGTGACTATGATGGTGATTTCCCATATCACTCCTCTTGAAGTGAACTCTAGGAGGATGACATAATGATTCAACCCCAGAATATCTTTTTTTATTTTTCTGTGTGGAACTTAACTTCATCCTACATCTGATGCTACCTTGAGGCTTCCTGTTTTCCATCATGTTACTCATGCCAATTTGCCAGTATGCTTCTATATTAACTGTTGATGATTGTATAATCCTCCTAATTTCCAAGGCCTTAGCTTATTGATGGTGGGCATAAACCATGCGTTCGGGAATGTTTGCTCTTTAAGTGAATGGCACTAAGAATCTCACATGGACGGTGATGATGATAAGAAGACATTTAGTCGAGTGGCTTGGTTATTCTGGATGGTCGTGCATTAGGAAATGTTTGCTTTTAAGTTGAACGCTACTTGGGATATTGTTATTTTTGGTTATTATTTTGTTAGATGTAAGAATATAGCTCTTCATTTGAAGGTGGAATTGGTAGTTGAAGTCTCTCACATGTACATTGTACAATTATGATTAAGAAAAGACATTTAGTCAATATGCTTAGATGACATTACTAGGAATTGTGAGAACTCATGCAACAATGTATATTAAGAACTTGCATCTTGGTATTGTTCTTTTTTGGGTAAAGATTAATATTGTTCTTGATGAGGTGTAATTCCGTTAATGTAGGGTTTCTTGGTTTAGGACTAGGATTTTATAGATTGTTCCTTGAGGTGATCCTTTATGCCCTATGAGGCTATGACAGATTTAGTTTTTGTTTTCTAGGGTTTTGGTGGCTTTTGAGAAATTTAGATTGACAGTATTTTTCGGATACGGATAGTCCTTGGGAAGTAAGAAAGTGTTGGCAGTTTCTTTTTCCGGCTCATGAGTTAAAATCCTATGCTGTCTCTTTTTTAACTTTTCGGCAAGAAAGAGGATGTTGTTTCTCCTTCTAGTCCAGTTATAAGTCAGTTATGCATATATCCATGGATTAGGTATTCCATGAGTGTATTTCTCACAAGGCTTGTTAGGTTGAACTAGCATGGATGGATTTTGGAGATCGGGTAAACTGTGTTTTGTTGAAACCCCTTCTAGGACCCCCCCCCCCAGTTGACCATATTCATAGGAATAAGTATGTGATTTAGCTTAGATATTAGCTTTTTAGGGTTCTATTTTTTTGGCATGGTGACCCATATGGTACTCTAGATCCCACTTTGATTACAATATCTTACGAAAATTTTGAAATATTATATTCAAATGTGTGTTTTATCTCTTGATCAAGCTTTGATATGGTGCAACTGCAGGTATTGAGCGTGAAATCGCATCCTTACAAATGGAGGTGTGCTTTGATGGTGGAGGTTATGTTATAGTACTTATGGTTTTCTTTCATCCTCACTAAGTTTGCATATGAATTTAATTTCAGGAGAAGAAATTGGTGGCGGAGATTAAGAAAACTGCTAAAATCGGGAACGAGGTTGGTGCATTTTTTAGTTTTTGATACATAAGTTTGGTCTAGGATAGTATGTATTCATAATTTTCGAAAATCTTGAGGTTTTTGCATCATACACAATTATGATATCATTGATATGATGCAAAATGCTGGTGAGAGAACAAGTTCACCGAATATCTTGTTTCTAGTTTGATGCTAAAACAAAATGCTACTAGATGATACCATTGATATAAAAGATTCTAGCAAATAACAGGTTCACCGTACACCCATCATGAATCTTTTTATGCTAAATGCTGAATGACATGCTACATAAGATAAATGCATTAATTTTACATAGGAAATCATTTGTGAACACGAACTGGAAGGAAATAAAGGTTATTGTCAAAAAGCTTTAGGCAAAACTGACTTTCTTTTTTTAACTCGAAGGAAATAAAGGTTATTGTCACACCTCTTGGAATCATGATGATAAAAGTTCTTTCTTCTTTTTTCGTCTTACTTTTTTGCATTTTGGTTAATCAGGCTGCCACCAAGATATTAGCTCGCCAGCTTGTTCGTCTTCGACAACAAATAACGAATTTGCAGGGAAGCCGTGCGCAGATCAGAGGCGTAGCAACTCATACACAGGTATTTAAAATGTACACCAAGTTATACTTTTACGCTTCAAACACTGTTATAATAGGTTATGATCTGAACCTCCCTTTTCATCTTAATATATTATGATACTTTTATGCCTCAAGCTTATAGCAATACGCGTTATAATCTAAACCTCCTCCTTCATTTCAGTATATTATACTTGTTTTTTATTAATTTCTTTTCGATTTTCAACATTCTTGAAGACCATTATTCCATGGATTTATTTTATATCCTTTCTAGATTTAGCGTTGTATGTATTCTTTTGCAGGCTTTGTATGCCAACACTTCAATATCAACCGGAATGAAAGGTGCAACGAAAGCAATGGTTGCCATGAACAAGGTACATATTTCTTAACACTTGAGATTTAACCACAACATAGAAGCTTGGGTATATGATTGATCTTTGGATATATTTACCCAATATACTTTAAGCAAGCCGAGGATGTTGTGAGTTTGAATCACAGAAACAACCTCTTAATTTGCATGTTGAAAGGCTTGCACTACGCCAGGAAGGCTTATTCAGCTAAATGACCTCCTGACGAGGGATTTTTTTTAAATCCATGACTTTTCAGACAAGTTTATACGCGTTCTTGTGTATGGAAGTGATTTTCTTCTGTTAATCAGTGACATTCCCAAACATGTCAGAAAATCCTTGATTTAAAAGTAAAGCTAGACGGGTTATTTAGCTAAATGACCTTCTGACAAGTACTTTCTAAATCCATGACTTCTGACAAGTTTTTAGGCGTTCTTGTGTATGGAAGTGATTTTCTTCTGTTAAACAGTGACATTTCCAAACATGTCAGAAGATCGTTGATTTAAAAATAAAGCTAGACGGGTTATTTAGCTAAATGACCTTCTGACAAGTACTTTCTAAATCCATGACTTCTGACAAGTTTTTAGGCATTCTTTGTATATGGAAGTGACATTCTTGTGTTGGTCATTGATTTAAAAAAAGCTTGACCTAATAACAGAAGGACCCACCCTGGAACCTTGATGCACCAGGATCACCTTTTGAATCTTCTTGTATGTTTGAAAACACGTGTTCTATATTGGCATTGGTGCTTTGAAGACGATCCATAATTTTTTTTCTTCAGGAAATGGCACCTGCAAAACAAGCTAAAGTGATCAAAGAATTCCAGACGCAGTCAGCTCAGCTGGATATGACGGTAAATTGATTATATTGTAGTTATATATTAATCTTTCATCATACCCATGTTGTCATCTCTAAAAGATGGTTTCATCTCGAGTAATTTCTAACTTGCTAATGATTTATCACCAGATTGAGATGATGTCCGAGTCCATTGATGAAACTTTAGACAAAGACGAGGCTGAAGAGGAAACAGAGGAGCTTACAAATCAGGTAGAGGAACTGCAATTTCAGGGAGTTCAGTTTTTAGCATTTCTGGTATAAAATCTAATATTTATGGTCCAAAATTTTAGGTGCTTGATGAGATTGGTGTAGGCATCGCATCACAGGTTGGTTTCTATATTTTATTTTACTCTTAGAAATGGAGGTTGTGGCTAATCCTTGAAGGTACTCGTTATGTTACTCTATTGTAGAGATGCACAAAGAAGCCCCGGCCCGAAAAGGCCGACCAAGTACGGTTAAAACTTGGCTCAAAATCCCGAACCGGCCCATTTTCACACCCAAAGCCTGGTTCAGGCCCGAAAAACCCAGATCTTGTGCATCTCTACAGTCTATTGTCATTGGAAAGGTGACGAGTTTGAGTCATGAGGGTGTTGAGGAAACTTTCTAATAATATTCATTTTTTTACAGTTATCATCTGCTCCAAAAGGTCGAATCGGGCCCAAGAAGGTTGATAATGCTGTCCCAAGGTATGCCATAAGTAGCCATTAGCATATCCAACCATGGTCCTTGACACTCCTTTTCACACAACCAACATACTTGAAACAATGCACAAAGAACACTCTAGTTTGAAGAAAATAACAAAGAAACATTATAATCGACTGAAAATTGTGAAAAAAAAAAAACACTGGTGTATATGAGAGTCGTTAACTATTAGTAACTTGAACAATGGTATTTGACACTTTAGTTTGCAAAAATGCACGAAAACGCTCAAATTGGAAGAAAATAGAACACTATGCAAACTTTGTTTGCTATATAGACATGGAAGTCATTCTACCCTTTGGGGCAGAGGTCAGGTCTACATACATTAAGTTACTAGACGCTACTTTCGTGTGGGATTTATTGATTTACTTTGACCGCTTGGTTTGGTTTACATGGAAGTCATTGGCATTCAAGATTTGTAGCCATTGGACTTTTGATCCCTTCATCTTTAGGGGTCCAAACATGTACTTGCAAAGGTTCAAAAGGAACACTATGGGTTGGCAAAAAATGAAGAAAGAAGTATTGTCTTTGTCCCAAAACAAATGTTCACAATGAAAAAAGCACACAATTTTAATAAAGTGTAAATTGCATAGATGGACCGAGGGAATAATGAATTTCTCCATCTAATAATTAAGGGTAGGATTGGAAGGTATGCACGTACTTTCGAAAGTGAATATTTATTTTGGAACAAACTAAAATAGAAATGTGGACACTTATTTTGGGACAGAGGGAGTACTACAGTTGCCTGAAATAGCCAAAAAACACTTCAGTTGGCTAATCACTCACTCACCCCTTTGGTGTAGAGGCAAAGGTCGGTGTCCATTACCCCCACAAACCCGATAAAGACTATCAAGGAGATCGCTCATTTTCTCAATGAGATTGGTTTCCCCTTACCTCTGTGTGAGGTATACTGGGTTTGTTTGGTTTATTCTTGAACAAATTTGCGCGTTTATTTTGTTCCTAATTATTATGAATTTTGCAGTTCTGTATCGAACGATGTTGATGATCTTGAAAAGAGACTTGCCTCTCTTCGACGCATATGATATGGGAAACATTGCATACAGGATCACTCTAGTTTGGTGAGGATCGGAAGTCTATTTTCTATGTATAGGTATCTTGTATCGTATCTTTACTATTATATATTATATCGACACCGAAATTCTTTGCTAGATTGCGCGTCAAATCTCTTTTTTGTGTGTGCGTGCGTTAGGTTGCTCGTCAAAACTCTGCATTCAAGCATTCACGAATACTTGAATCAGTTTCAAGTTCGAAGCAAGAGCAAAACAAAGTGCATATATAGCATTTTATCACTTGTGCATATACACCATGAGCTTTAGAACCGAATGGAATCAAATCGAACCAACATTCAAACCCTTTGAAGCAACTTTAGAATGGTTGGGTATGCATTCCAACCCTTGACAGGTGAGATTTACTGGGTTTGTTTAGTTTGGTTTTTAATTAGATTATTTCAGTAATCTATGATTCTAAATATGGGAAACAAATTGGTTCCAAATTGCTCTCGAACGACCAAACTAAACACTTCAATCCAATCTTGTTTGGTTTTACATTTTGAAGGTTTGGGGAACGTTTACCAAGATGCTTACCGGGTAAGAGTCACCATTTACCACACTCTTTTAAGATTATCGATAGATGTGTTATATGTGTTCCTTACCCGGTACACGTTAACCGAGTAAGAATCTTCTTCCTCGCTTTTAAGATTATCAATTATTATCATGCTTACCTAGTAAGGTACGTGACCCAGTGAGCATTTGGTAAAACAACTCTTTGGACTTGCATCATTTGCCATGTCACCAAACACATTTATTATGTCCGCAATGGAGGATGGGATGTACATAGATCTCTTGCCATGTCACCAAACACATTTATGGGGATGGGATGTACATAAATCTCTTCTCTAGCCAAAAGGGTATAGCTTCAGTTTCTGTGGAGATCACTGGCTCACTGGCTTGATTAAATAAATGGTGAAACAATAATTTTTTTAAAATGAGATCACATAAGTTTAAATTCTCGATTTCGCCTACCTTAAAAAGCACAAGAGAATTACTTTTATTAGCCGATGTTGGTAGGATTGGGAGTCCAAAGATTGGTTGGTACCGAATTTTTTTGAGACTGAAAACGAGGAGCGAGAACCGAACCGTGTACAAATTCGGCATCGGTTACAGGACGGAAGTTCAAAACTGGGACCAACAATTTAAAGTGGGTAAAAAAACAATCGCAAACCAATCACAAAAGTTCAACAATCGAAAGTTCAAATGTGTATCAAAATCAATCAAAAGTTCAAATGTATATCAAAACCAAATGCAATAGTTCAACAATCTAAAGTTCAAATATCAAAAGTATTTAAGATTATTATATTATTAACCAATAATTAACTAAAAAAAATGGTTTATGATTAACAAATAAATAAAACCTGTGGTATATAAAAAACTTACTTGAGTTTCATCCATGGAGAAGCTGACTTTTTTGATGGTGGTTGGTCAATTTCTTGATGGTGTGATACTACTGATTTTTTGATGGTGATGCTGATATCGTTTTTTGATCAAAATAATGGTTATGGGGGAAGGCATTGATTATTTTAGAAGAAGATATAGATTAGTTTAGAAAATAGAGATGGATTGGTTTAGGAGATAGAAATGGAATTGAATTACCCGGTTCGGTTCCGGTATTTTTGGGAAATTCTTGGTACCGAATACCGATTTTGAAGTATTTTTGGGACCGAAAACCGAACTGATTACATGCATTTGGTTTCGGTTGGATACGGTTTTGATTCGGGAAAACGGTCCTCTTGGGGGGAATCTCATTTCCTTTTTTTTTTTTTTGAAGAAATGGGTATGAATAGATTTTAATTCCATCACATATGCGATAGAGTGATGAAATCTACAAAATTCAATTTTATTCAATATATAAACTAAACAGTTAAAATGAAAATTGATTTACAGAATTCACCATTCAAGTTCTTTTAGATTCCATAGGAATCTTGTGAACCAAACCAAAACGGAGTCTAAGGGGTCGTGTAAATGCTTATTAGAGATATCACTTACTTTACCGGATAAACATGACAAAGATTGAAAATCTTATCCGGTAAGAAGCATAACAATGACTACAAATCTTACTCAGTGAAGGAAAAACTCTTACGCGGTTAACGCTTACTGGGTAAGAGATATTTTTATCAAAAATTTATTTTGATAACTGTGAATGTTACCCATTAATATAAGTGAGGATAGTGACTCTAGTCGATAAGCAGTTATCTAATAAACTTTTGATAAACAACTCTCTTTTATGACTTGTTGTGTTGAGCATTTGATCGCAATTTTTCTTGAATTTGATGCTAATCTTTTTCTATTTGTTGGAATATTTGTCAATTTGTTTTAGTTCATTAAGTTCTTTTTTCATTTTTTTACGACTGATCTAAAATAGTCAATTTTTAACATCTTAATCTTTAACCCGTTAAAATTAACAAAAAAATCGTTAATATTGGTCATGTGAACACCATGTCTCTTAAAGAAATGAAATTTTTGTCTCTCTACCCATTCTAACGCTGCCGTTAAAATTTAACAAAAAATCGTTAATATTGGTCACGTAAACACCATGTTTGTTAAAAGAAATGAAATTTTGTCCCTCTACCTATTATAACACTAGGGGTGTTCGCGGTGCGGTTTGAAGCCAAACTGCAAATTGCACCGCATATACGGTTTGAACATTTTCTCAAACCACAAACCGCATCACATATGCGGTTTGAACATTTTCTCAAATCGCAAACTGCACCGCATAAACTTCAAACTGTACCAAAACGCACCGCAAAGTGCGGTACAGTGTGGTTATGTGATTTGTACCTATCGCACTTTATGCCTAAAATCAAATAATAATAAGTTCAAAAATACATTATAAAACTGATAATAAAGTCATCATGGTCCAAAAAAACAAAGAGTTACAATACATCCAATAATACATATTGCATAATTAAAAATAGTCTAAGAGGTAAAAAAAATAAATTTCAAACTAAATTGGACGTGTGAGTTGTGACTTGTCCAACTAATTTATTAATATTTTTGCCATATTGGATCAAAATCAAAAATCCAAAAATACTACATAAATAATAAATTATTCTATATATATATGTGTGTGTTATATAAAATTAAAAAATGTACAAAATATGTGATGCGATGCGGTTATAACCGCGGTTTGATAATTGAAAACCGCAAACCGCACTGCATGGTACGGTTTATTAAAAATGTAAACTGCACCGCGAAAATTCTAAACCGTGCTTTTGCGGTGTAGTGTGGGCGGTTTGGATGAACACCCCTATCTAACACTAACAACACTAGGAGCCGTTGCACCAAGTGCTAAACTATGGTGTTTTGCATCAACAAAGACTAGTTGTAATTGGATAACAATATTTGATAACATATCTTGAGGACACCCTAAACCTAAAGCGCTTATGATATCATTACGAATGTACAAACTAAAACTGCAAAAGTTTAGAAATATACATACCCGATTGAGATGTAATATAATTGCATCGAGATTCTTAAAATTACGATCTAATGTGTCGTTGTTTCCCCCAAAATACTCAACGGGTTATGTTCATACTTCATACATATAAATAGTAGTTTTATCATTATATATGTTAAAGAAGATAAAAAAATGAAATGGACATAAAAATATAGCCAAGTATTTACCACGTAAAGTTACTACTATTTTTATTAGACAAAAAAATCCGACATTTTTCTTATTTGAAGTCATGTAACCAAATGCTACATCAAGGGGCTGTTTACCAAATACTTATCCGATAAGTGCTTACCAATAAAATTTAACAGTATTATTTATTTATTAGGTACGATTTTAGTCCACCAAAACGACATCGCATGCAACAATTTATCCGGTAAGTGCTTATCGAGGTAAGAGTTGTCGCCCTCACTTATCGGGTAAGACTCTTGATTCTTGTCTCTCGCTCTTACCAGATAAGATTCTTGATCTTTACCATATTTATGTAATAAGGTAACGTTATTTGATAAACGTTACCCCTAAATAAAATTCTTTTCTTATTTCCCGGTTTTTTTCATTTTAGAAACTAAAGTGAATTACATTTTTTGTCCTTGTAGTTTGATGTTTTTATCAAATTCCATCCTTATTTTTAGAAAAACTAAAGAAACCCGTCCTTGACGTTTAAGTTTTTAACGAGCTAGATCATAGTGATCACATTTTTATAATGAGCTTGGTTGATGTGGTTATCCCTAAATAAATTAATGACATGGATCTCTTGGATGTTTTAGGGACTCATCTCGTTAAAAAAATCACTGACATGGATCCAACTTGTTACTTTTTTTAAATAGGGATGAAAGCTGTTGAAACACCAAAATAGAGGGACTAAAAATGCATTTCACTTAAAAAATTGTTTTGTAACAACTGTGTAAGTAACCAACTTTTCGGAAGAAAAAAAAACTGATTAAACACTTCATTTTGTCGGGTTGATGAAATATATAAGTGATTGTAGATTTTAGGGTTCCAATCGTGCCGGTGAAATGAGTTTCTCCCGATTTTCTTGTTTTCTCTTTCGTTGATTGATATTCTGAAGCTGATTTTGCCCTACTACTGGATTGTTTTCTGCTGCAGGTATGAAATTCTTTTCATGATTGAATTACTCTTATGAATTCTATATGATATGATTCATTGTGGTCTGGTAAAATTCCTGTCATCTTGAGCTATAAATCTTTTTGCATGTTTATTGCGATATCATAAATTTGTTCGACATGAATGATGAGAAGAAAATGAGTAGATTGATTTGCATACTGGTGTGTATGTAAAGTTATCATTATACTGTAATGTTTATAATGTTCCTATAAACTAAAGGATGGAGCCTTCTGAGACGGCAAAATTATGACGATAGTAGGGCGGAGCAAGGGACTTTCTGGGTGATTGTGCCTTGGAAAGAACAGATACTAGTGTACTTGAAACCTAGAAGGGCTTTGTGATCTCATATGTAAGGATGATTATTTGATGTGACGTGACAACTACATTTATGCTAATGATATTTGTGCCTAAGTGTGTGATAGTATACAAGCAATGGAGCTTTGTGTCGGCATGTTCTCGTTTTATTTGGTATGCTGATTACCCTGATATCATTAATCTCATATTGGATCTCCCAAATTAATCATGTGTGTATATACATACATACATATACATTGACCTTTATTGTGTTTAGTTGCTTGTTGAGTGTTGTCATTCACCTGAGCTATGAGGTAAGGACGTCTCATATGTAAAGAAAGGAAAGAGTCATCTGACTAGAAGCTAGTAGATTGTAATGATAAGTTCTTAATTCAATTAAGACATGATCTGTTCAATATAGTCATAAATTTCAGTATTAATTGAGGCTTTGTCCCATTCCATATACCAAATTATGTAAGGAATTGTAGGTGTCCAAAGCAAGGAGTGTCACAGTATGACTGTTTAACTTCAAATTAAGTTTTTGTACAATTTGGTTTCTAATGAAATATTTGGTTTGCTTTTTTAATTTGAATATTTGTTCAATAACAATTACTAAGTATTTAATAATATCCTTTTTGTCATTATTTTTTTGGACGAACAGGTACGAATCTTCAAGTACACTGTCAAATTTCATATTTTTCAAACCAGAAATAGATACGGATATATTTGAATCGGTTAAACATCTGATAGATATGAATATGGATGTCACATGTGAATATTTGTCATCAAACATACAAGGATTTTGATATCCAACATATTAATCGGACATGGATATGGAATAATTCATCTGATCTGTTTACCATCTCTTTACTTCTCTGCAGATTGCATTGCTTCCATAATATATTCTAATTTCTTCACCACCTGCATTCCCATTTTGAGTCATCAGCATGGTTGAAGACTAGTTTTTCTTACAACTATTATGTTGTACGCTGTTCCATTAAACCTTTAAAGCATGTTTAAACATACACTGTCAAGTAATACTCCCTTCATATGGTACCTCTATAACACCAACATTCTTTTCTAGCATGTTTGTATAAACTGTGAATAGTATTTGAGGAATATATGTGTTGGAGTCCCACGTCAGCTAGAGACGGTCCATACAACCTCTATGTATGTTGCAACATCCACTTTCTCTATAAAGGCTCGTTTAGAGAGATTCAAAAGTGTTCCACACATCCTAAAAGATGGCTCCCACACAATAGCCCTGTGGGCATATCAGGAGGGATCTAGATGCTTTGTGTGTACAGACATCTGTCAACAAACACTATTCATCTTAAGATAACTTTAGTAGAAATTGGCTTATCAAAACTTACATGTGTCATTGTCTCTCTCTTGGCAGGGTCTTTCTTGAGACAAGCTTCTGCTAGGTTTACTATGTGATAAAGTTGGAAGACATGGACATCATGAGAATCAACAATCCTTTCATCAATTAGATCTGGATAATTATTATCTTCAAGAAGTGGTCTTGCCTGCAAGGAAGTGTAGAACCTGGCATAAGGGCTCTTACCAAATCATGTTCTATACTTGCAAAGAAACTAAATTTCTTTTCTTTAATCTCTTAAAAGTAGTGAAATTCGTTTGACAAGTTTCGCCAAGTTTAGGGAGAAACTGATGATTTAGAATAACAAATACAGATGATACACTTTGATGATAAATAATCAATCGCCTTACCCATTCTACTAAGGTTTTCCCCTCAAATTTCTTCTCTTTTGTCTTGCATCCAGTGATCAGCTGTAACAGAACCACGCCGAAGGAGTAAACATCTGTCTTGGTTGACACTCTTCCAGATTCTGCATACTCAGGTGCTACATATCCAAGGGTCCCAACCACTCCAGTCTCATCTGTATCACCGCAGGCTATTCTTGCTAGACCAAAATCACCTAGCTGATGTACATTTGAAATAAGTTACATCTATTTGCTAAGAGGATATATTATATGAAAAAACTTAATTAAGAGTGTCCTTGTTATGATTTGACAGATTATTTTATGAAATGCTATCGGTGTTTTGAATGTTACCATCGATTCGTAGTCATGTGTTACGAGGATGTTATTTGGTCTCATGTCTCTGTGTATGATTTTTATTCTGTGAAGATAATCTAACCCTCTGGCAGCTCCGAGTGCAATTTTTATTCTCTTCTCCCAGGTAAGTGCATGCTCTGCACATTTGTAAACAGTTATCATCACTAAGAATATTCAGTTATCTGTTATGACCGAGAAGCCTACCACCAAATTTATTTCTTCTTACTTGATAAGTGTTGATCCAACGAACCATAGCAGACAAACTCATAAACAAGTAGCCTGTGTGTTCCTTCTGAACATGATCCTAACAACATGACCAAATTTGGGTGTCTGGCCTTGCTGAGCACATTTACTTCAGACTTGAACTCTTTCTCTCCTTGACAACTGGCATCTTTATGTAGTTTGACAGCAACTTTCATCCCACATTTCAGCTCTCCCTCATACACAGAACCGAATCCACCTTCTGATAGGAAGTTCTTTGAAGAGAAACAGTTAGTAGCCTCATACAGCTCTGCATAACTGAAGTCTTTTGTCAACCGAATACTGGGTCGTTTGTTCTGGCAAACTGAACAAACTGAATATTCAAATTTCTCTTCTTTTTGACACCCTTCTACTAAGGTATCACTTGTGCTAAGAAGCTGCTGCTTCTCTTGTTCATCATATGTGCTACCTGAATTAAATGCTAAGATCTCAATCCGATCTTTACTCTCAGGAATTAAATCTGAGGCTTGTTCTCCAGCTGTATCAACTTGTGGGTTTTTAGGATCATTTTTGTCTTGCTGAAAACATATGGCTGAAACGTTTCCTGCATCTGTACAGCTTGAAACTTCAGAAGTTCCCACGCTTGAGCTGGAAACCGCAGATGCAGATGAGGATTTCTGGTCAGTAGATGGAGGGGAACATGAAGATGCACCAGCACTATAGCTACCTTCTGGTTTAACTAAGTTTGTTGCCTTTTTAGCACTGGGAGTTTCTGGAGAAGAAAAATAGCAAAAAGATTGTAAAAGAAGAAATTGTGCTTATAATTTTGAGAGAAAATAGATTATATCATTAGATATAGTTGGAAGTAGTAGTTCATAGAAGATTCAGCCAACTGTTTTTGTGGTACCAGTATGAATCCAGTAAATGGTAACTGAAAATACAGATTATGGACTGATTCCAGTAACAGGTAAACTATTCTGGAGAAATTTTCAGATATCTTTCCTGAATAGCCTTAGTTGAATTTGGATATTATTTGAACTGTGTGTAGTGTTCATATAATCCTGAATATTGATATTTAACATTTTCCGAATCCGAACCTGGAAATCGGAAATTTATCCTACTTGGAACTTGGACATCAACGTTTTCGATTCAGTATGATGCATGTCTAGAATTTAGCCACATTAATAGGAGAGGTCATTCAAGAACTAAGGTTTTGAGGCTTTGCACGCTAAACCCCAGAATTGCTTGTGATTCGCATACAAAATATGAAAGCTTCTCATTGAAATCACCCTAGTTAATATAAAAGATAGAAACAATTAGAAGGTATAACAAGCAAATAAGATCATCTGATCTTGAAAGATAGTCCTTGCATTCAGTAAGACTCTGGTTTGCGTCTATAGATCCTTCTACATCCAAGATTACCCTGATAAACTTATGTATAGTAAGAAATGCACGTGTGTTGATGAACCTGTTTTTAGACTTGGTCATTTTAGTTGAGATCATACTTCTTATTCCCACTTATCCTTGTGTCATTATTTCAGGGAAACTATTTATGGTCTCTTTTTGATCTTTTGCATGGGAAGGATTCTTCTAGGATGCTAGAGGGCATATACTAATACTATGAGCTTAACTCCGTTGGATCTCTTGCTCTAGCTGAAACTGAGATTATTGCTAAATGTTAATCTTAGGCTTATGTTGAAGATCATGATGAGATGTTTAGCCTAGTGGCTAAGATGACATCTGTCTGAACTGTGATTACTATGAATTTTCTTTTGCTTCAACTTCATCATGAGTGCATTTGTTAATTTTGTTCTTGAGAGGGAGGTGTTTATCCGTATATGTTTGTGGTTTAGGAGGCTGCTTCTAGGGTTTGCCACTTGAGGGGGTCTCTTTATGGTGTCTTAGACAGGTTCTTTAGATTTGGTTTTCTTGGTTCTCTCAGGCTTTGGAGTAATTTGGAATGACACAAAATACTTGCAACTTCTTGGTATCGTAGTCACTAGGCTAGATATTTCCTTTTAAATGAGTGTGGTGAGCCTAGATGGTGTAATTTATATTTATTTGGTTTTCTAGTCTTAGTCTCTTGGAGATTTTACTTGTAATTTTGTAGGGATGGTTAATGGTAATTTTTGTCGAAGGATTTATTTTTAATTTTATACAAGTCCAGATGAGCAGAGCCTAGATGTACCCTAGGAATTGAGTCAAGACTTGAGCTTATATGAGCCTATTCAAGCCCATACAACCAATCTTATGTGAGCCAAAATAAGGGTGGAGCCTTAGGTAAGCAGCGCCCAGCCGTGGCCTAATGTTTTCAGGCTTCACTTGGCAAGCAGGGGCCCCAGCATCAAGCCCTAGCCTTGAGCTCCTAGGTGTACCAAATGCAAAGGTGGATTACTTGATTTTCATTTTGTTTGTGAAATATGGTTGTACATCTTCCAAACCTCCTATTCAGTCATTTTGGAGTCGTTGGGAAAACAGGTTGCCGGAATTTTGACAAGGCTCCTTAGAGACTGTTGATCGATGCCATTGTGACAAGTTGGGCTCTTTGATATATTTGCTCCAATTCTGAGAGTTGGATATATAGGACTTGTGTTGTTTTGATAGAAGCTTTTAGGGAATTATTATGGTTTCTTTTTTCTTGGGAAATCGGCTTGTCTTGTACTTACTAATTTATGCTTTGGTTGGTTATACAGAAACTATATTTTCAAGAACCTTAACTTTTCAGAATTATTAATGACTATTTTGACCAACGATAAATTGTGCATTTGAAATATAATACTTATTTACTCACTCTTTGGGGAGAGTCCTTCCTGTGACATTTCTGGTATCATTTCACCATATGAAACATGTTCATTGCTTGTAGTCCTTTTCCCTAAAGGCAGTTTTTTGTCCTCCATTGTTATTGGCCCTCTCAGCTTTTCGATTGTGTTATCACGTTTCAGCCTCAGTATTCCACATGTAAGCTTATCCATGAAGTATTTTTTGTCTTTCTTCATCTGCCTGGAGATAACAATAATAAGACATAGTACAGCATTTCTGAACTAAGATAAAGTAACAGGAACTTTTAGAGATCTTTCATGTACAGAGTAAAGAAGTTTTGAAGTATATAAAATTTATATACGGCAAATACTCTCACACACTCCTCACCTCACCTTTGGTGACGTTTAAACCCTAGACCTCCTGGGAGGCTGGGCTCTGCAGCTAACTCGGGTATTGATGGGCCAATGACCCTTTGGTTTCAGAGTAAAGAAGATGCAAATGACACTTGTCTATTGGCAATGGAATTAAGTGAATTTACACAACATAGGAGAATAGACTAAGGTTATAAATAGATATTTGAAAATTCATGTACCTGATAAAAATTGTAGAAACTAAGAATTTTATATTAGAGTGTTACTTAAACATACCTATCAAGTACCACCCATGTCACCCTTAAACTTTTGGCAGCTTTTGCAGCAATGGTCTTTGGAGAAGATCCAGCATGCACTATTATCTCGAACATTATCTGAAAAATATCTTATTTTATTTAAGTAACTCCTGTTAGCATCATTACATGTGCAGCATGTCCAATGAATCTAGTATGTTTCCATGTCATAAACGAGGAGTCGTGAAGGACAGTTTGGTTCCACTTCCAGTACTAGCTTATGTTTTAACACATTAAGATTGTTTAGGTAGGAATTTGGTTAACATTTGAACCTTGTTTGTTGAACAAATCGTAGACAATCGCATTACTTCATCTCTTTTAAGATACTCCTCCTTTCTTTGCTGCCCATCATTCTTACTTTTGGAGTTCGATCCACTGCCATCGACCTTGCTCATGATTTTTACTACATAGCAATACATGTAAGTTAGGCAACACAAAATAATCCTTCCCTCCCCCCTCTCTCTCTGTGCATATATATATATATATATATATTCAAGATCATGTGAGAAATTTTCATTTTCGTAAGAAGGTGAAGGTACCTTTATATTTTGTGAAGGTTGTAACCTTCATGACCTAAAACTGTGTATTTCCGGTCACATTGCCTTCACACAATGTATTTTTATCTTCATAAGCCTCTCGACAAACCTTCACACGGTACAAAGGTACCTTCACCCTTTCTCACGTTGTCATGAAAATGGGTTTTTCTCACGGGAACCCAACTCTATATAGAGAGAGGGAGGGTCAAACGAGAATAGGGTCAAATTAAGGGAACACAAGAACGGCCAAATCACATGGGATCATGGATCATTGTCAATGCATGGGTGCACAGGCGATTTGGCCCACGACCTAGGTCAAGCATAACCACGTGATTTTACACGTGAGGTTAGTGTAAAATCACATGTGATTTGGACGTTCTTGTGTTCTCTTATTTGGTCACTCTTCTCATTTGAACCTGACTATACATAATATATATATATCTATCTTTTGTTTATTTTGTCACATACAAGAGCTCTTAAACTCATGTATATGCATAATTATGAGTTTTAGTTTTATTTCTGGAAATCATTATATCTGTTGTAATGATGAATAATAGGTTACGCACAAGGACTAGGAAGCTGGTGAATAACTCCAAGGAGTATGAGCTCGTCCCCTGATGTAATTGGCAAGCTTGTGAAGGCCCATATGATTGCGTTCAAACCATCATTTCGTGATGCATCATGAACTACCATCACTTTTTGTGCTCCTGTGGACATGATGTTCATCTAATTTGTATAAACTGCAATATGGTAGGTTTTATGGTAAGTTACACATTCTGATGATGGCTCCCACATGCTAGAAATCTAAACTGCTGTTTCACTAATTGTTTCTCTATATAATATATCCTTTTTAAGAATATAAGACTTTCATCCCAAGATAAACGCAATGCTTGACTACACATAGTTTAAATATTTGCTGATCTTATAACATTTGATGACATAAATACCCATTTAGGAAATTTAAATGATAAACTTGACATCCACATCATTAAATGTTACAAGATAAGCAGGTTAGCAGTCCAACGGGTAAATTTAAGGAAATTTTGAAACTTTGTTACATTAAATAAGAAATTTTAATACTTCGTTATATTGATTGAGAAAAAAAACAGTAAACAGGAACTAAACCAAACTTTGTTGCATTTTGATTCATTTTGTACATATATAAAACACTCCTCACCAGAATGAAAGAATCTTGTGAATCAAATTATATATGTCGATATATTAGCCGTTTAGGCATACACTTGGGCAAATAGAGAACCTTTCTAGGCTTCCATCTCGAAACCAGTTGGTAATGAGACAAGTCACCCTTAGATGATCATATTCACAGATGAATTAACTTAAATTTAACCGAGGTCGGACCGTTAGTTAACAGAAACAGGAAAAAGGAAGGACAGTACAAATGCTCACTGAAATTTGCACCATGAAACTGGAAGTTGCTCTTATAGAGTTGGTGGTGTAGGAATATGCAGCAGCCTAGTTTGAGTTCATTCCCTTCGCATATCCTATCTGTGACGATGGGCCTACGAGTTTTTTCATTTCTAGAACAAGAAAAGCTCATGTTTTTAAGTAACATATTGTCGAAACTTATGATTCTTGTTTCTTTCTGTAAACAGCCTGCTATGCTGCTATTGATAATAACAAAGCTATTGTCCAATAGAATCTGCCTATTCCACCTGGGCTCATTTGTATAGTTGGATTGTTTCTGGACAGCGATCCATCGGATGTGATGATCACGACTTCGTCTTATGTAACAACGAGCATCTTTTGTTGTCTCAAATCGGGAGAACATGGTTTTTCAGGTAATGGAATTTTTATCATTCTAGTTGCTAATTCAAAGCCAGCACATGATTGGGAGATGAATTCTGTCACTGTTCATTTGTCCTCATGTTAGGATTTGCTTACTAAAAATTTACTGCCTCTTACCCGCTTACCCAATCAGAGATGATGGTCTTTACCAACAATCATACCGTGCCATTTTGCTGATCAAAATTTTTATCTATTTTGATGACTGGGAATCGTATCTAGTAAGGTAAGTGAGGGTGGTGACTCTTATCCAATAAGCACTTACCGGGTTTTCGTTGGTAAATGGCCCCTAGGGTTCGAATCAGGCCACCGTCTACTGCGTCTGGGACACCGTGATTTTCCTCCCCTGATGGCCGACTGGCCGTGGGACCCGTGTGGTGAGGGCGTTCTAGAGGGTGGTGTATACCCTTTTTTGTATATAAAATTTGTTCGACCCTTGAACCATAGTAATCTTTTTAGCACGCTACCGTTAGATTTATTTACTTTTAACTTTTTCCGCTAATCCTATTTTTGAGCCAAATTTGCACATTATTCTGATACGTTTGCCCTTGATAAGTTCATCACAGAATTTAGCATATCGTTAACTGATGTTTTTTGTTTTGTTGTGGAAAAAGGGTTTGAGGTACCCTCTATAGTACCTGTACCTTCATCCTACCGGTCTCACGACCATCATAGAACATGTAAATGGGAGTGTCCTGGGACAGGGTGGGTGGGGCTGGATTTGAACCCAAGACCTTGTAGAAACTCCACCCCCTTTTCCACAGCCGGGAAGCGTTTGTTTTGTTGCTCGGTAAGAGACAATATACTTACTGTATATAAATATCATATATTTCAAAAAAATATATAAATATATATATATATATATATATAGAGAGAGAGAGAGAGAGAGAGAGAGAAAGAGAAAGAGAAAGAGATAAAGGTTCAAACGAGAACATTAACTATATATATATATATATATACACCCTGAAGCGATTCGATTATATCGAAGAAAGGGAGGTTAAGGAGTAAGAAAAGGACCATTTATAGTAGTAATATTTTGTATTGTTAGATAATGGTTGGTTGATAGTATTGATGTGGTTTTGTGAGTGTCAATTTGATCCTTCATGGTTATGACCGGTTTTGTAGTTAGAGAGCATCATATTTTAATAGTTTGGCACAATCACAAATGATTTTAGATTAACCCATCAGAATCAATTTCTGAATGTTTGTTTTAGGAAATTGGGATAAGCTTGTTTGCTTTTATCAGATATAATGATACCATGGTAAACATGACGTTTGCGTCATGTTTTAAAATCTGTTAATTTAAAACACTCGAGGTGGTTAGCATCTAGACATGATAGGATATGTCTAAATAAGACAGAACTGAACGTGATGAAATTTTACTCATGATGAGTCGTTTTTGTTTAGATTATAATAAAATAAATATTTTTTAAACAAAATTTATCATTAGAAAGTTTTCGTCAATACTATTCAAAATGACACCACAATAAAATGTTTATATAGTTTCCACTATATTATTTTTTTAATTATTAATATTTAATAAATTACATAAATTAATTAAAATATAGAAACCGTACAAAAATAATATTTTGAGAACATTAGTACAATAAATAAAATTTAGAGAATGAGTAAAAGGTAAAGAGAGAGAGAGACAGACGTATTTGATGTTTTAGAAGAGAATTAAGTTTTGTTTTTGAGGTATAATATAGGTATATTTCACCTTGTTCCATGGGGTGAGGGCGAAACACGTTTGTTCTTGTCTGTTTCCCATATCAAACGTGGAACAATGATCCATGTTTTGTTACGTCTTGTTCTCTCCAATATACCAAATGCACCCAGGTTAGCTTAAATTCATACATAAAGTTAAAATGTTATGATCCGTTTAGAACATTTACTAAATAACTATTTTTAACTTTATATTAAATCATATAATTTTTTATAATATTCTGTATCAAATCTATCAAACAATCTTTAATATTGTTGTCCAAATACCCGATTTTAAAAGGCTCGTTTAAAACCTATGGCTTGGGGTTTGACAGTTTGGCCTCCAACGCAAAGTTTTACTTGGACCTCTTCAACTCTTAATTTTCAAAATCTGTTCCATTTTTTAACCATCTTGTCAATTAACGATACGACTATGGAATCTATTTTCTATTTATTTAAAAATACCCAAAAAGTTCTCAAAAAAATACAACAATGGGTAGTTGTAGTTTGTTGTACACCTTTAAGGTGGATCAAAGGTCTGTAAAATCGTCTGATTTGTTTTAAACGAATTCCACTAGTTTGAGGTCTTTTTAAAGTTTCTTTTGTCAATTTCAAGCGACTTATCAGTTTTTTGGTTGATTTAAGAAGATTTTTCCCCCTTTTTTGGTTTATCTCGAGATTTTTTTTGGTTGATGTTTTTTATATTTCTAACATCTTGGAGCATCCTTCAAAGCTTAGAAGGTGTACTTTTTATACCTTGCGAGAATATATGAGACATGCATAGGTCCACCCTTGCAAATTGGTAGGAAATAGAGGTCATATTTGGCAAACAATTGATAAGCCTTGCAAATGGAAAAACTAACCATTAAATGATAAGTTAGTTGATAAGCTAGTCAAAAATTTGCTGCAAGCCAAGACGACAATTTAAAATAACCTAAAATTATATGTTGAAAAATAATTGAAAAAATAAGGGGCACAATTGTAAGGAAAAAAACTTGTAAACTTGAAATGCTACTTCTAATCAAACGGGATTTTTTCAATTAAGGTCTTGTTTGTTTTAAAAAAAACTCTTATCAACCTCTTATGTTTGATTCGTCAAGAGATGGGGCAATTCAGACCGTTTATTTTTTCCAATTTTTCAGAGGCACTTATGTCTTATTGCCCTCTTATCTGGTAAGAGGGAAATCAACCTCTTATTGTTCTCGAAAGCATCAACAACGGTGTTTTTCAATCGATTAACCTTAGTTGATCATTTCTCTCAATCGATTTTTACCAAATTGATCCTCACCTCTCTCAATTGATGTATTTTAATAGGATATATATGTGTTAAATACAGTTAACAACATATTTTCATTTAATGAATGCTAATTGTATAATTTAGATGTAAATTTCGTAATGATGATATATGAAAGCCTTTCATTTGCTTCTCTTCGATGGAAGTTTGATTTTCCCAGAATGTATCCTAATTTTTGGCCTAATTCTTCTTCGATGATCGATTCAACCTCTGATAAAAAAGATATACCTTGGTTATATTTCATCTCTTCAACAAGTTTAGTAATGAGCATAACRGCCCTATTGTTCCGATGGAGAGAGGAACCTATGATTAGCTTTTCGGGAAATTTCCAAACGAACAACTTCAACGAAATCTTTCAATTTCTTATTTTACTATGTTCAACTCTATGTATTCCTCTATCCGTAGAGTACATTGAATTTACAGCAATGGCTATAAATAAATATGTGAAAATTATACAACTTTATCTATAAATTCAAAACTATAATTTCCTAATGGGTGAAATGGATAATTTAAACAAATTCAGACACTTATCGGTTTATAAAAACAAACAGTCTTATTGACTCAAATTTCAGACTTCAACATCACCTCTTATCAATCAGAAGTGAAATAAGACTTCAGACTTCAGCATCTCTTAAAAGACAAACTATTACCTAAGTTAAAAAATAGGTTAGCTTATGATTGCCAAATCTGGTTGGTTACAACTACTCATGAAAAAGGTAGAAAATGACATAAATGCCCTTCTAACGATTCAAATCTCAGACCAAAATGCTATAGAGAGGTTGGGTGAATGTTGTCTTGAGGGTAAATAAATAGGAACAAAGAAGGTTTAGGCCGAAAGCAGCGTCACAACGATAAACAACACAGCTGCAATCCCGAAACAGCACCCAACAATCACCGTGAAGGCCTGCAGATCGTTACAAGTCACGTATATGAACGAAAGGAGGATTAGTCGATCACTTAAATGAAACGAACCTTTGCCTGTGATTTGAACTTGAATTTGGCCATGAACCAGGTTAAACCTTTGTCAACCAGAGGTGCAAGTGCTAAAGCCCTGCAAAATAAGCAGCCGTTCGTTTTACACTTCCATCATGTCTATATCGTGCGATAAGAAATGAAAAGGTAAATGTGGTCTAAATGAAGATGAGACCGGAGAATTGAGGAAAACCGTATATAAGCAAATGGATTAAGAAAGTTTGTTAGCCTTATTATATATTGCACAAGTTATGGGTCTTCACAAAAACAGTCACTACCTTTTTAGGTAAAGGACAGGTATGTGTACATTCTACCTCTAAATTCTACTTTCAAGTGGGATATATTGGTTTGGTTAACCGTATTATACATCATAAGCAAAGAAAATGCGAGTCTCGAGATGCAACCAATTGAAGAAGACACCCTATAATAATGTTAATCCTATTTTCGTGAAGCCCCCCGCCCCCCTATTTTTTAAGACAAGACTTATAGTAGTAATCTCTATTTCATGTAAAATATAATTGATATACGGGTTGGGTTTCGGTGAGAATGAGAGTTAAAGTGAGAAGCGTAAGAAGGGATTGGCTATTTCGGGGTTCCATGCCCATGGATTGCCTTATTATAGCTTTTTTGATTTCCCCACTCTTGGATGCACATTAGGATGAGATGCACCGAGATGCATTGAATCAATTCTCGTATCAAGCGCGATTCATGGTTGGGTTTGAGATTAAAGGTGATCAAGGGTCCAGGTCCCTTCTTACACTTCTCATCTTAACTCTTCTTCTCACATGATCCTTCACCATTGATATATAATATATATAAACACATGCTTTACTATGACTCAATTACTCAATGATATTAAACAATGTAAATGATATTATATATATTGAAAACTAACAAGGAAGACATTAAAAAGATAAGAAAAATCAAATATTGCGTTACCAAAGTGCACATTAGGCCATGGCATGCCACGGGCTAAACATGGCATCAGACACAAGCCTTGAGCCACAACACAAAATGGCAGTGAGCCTTTTAGAACACCAATATTAAGATATCAATTACAATATTATTTTTGACATGTGTACAAGCTAGTTGCATAAAAGACAAGTACGTTTTCATTGAGATATAGGGGTAAGCGGCAAGCGCTTATCCAAGAGTCACCACTCTCATGTTATCGGGCAACATCCTCGGCCATCAAAATGGATTGTTGGTAAGCATCTTTTACCTGGTAAGTGCTTATAGGGTAAGAATCTTCTCCATCACTTACCGGGTAAGGTTCTGAGTCCATACCATGCTCACCCGGTAAGGTAAGTGCCACCCAACTTGCACAGTAAGGCCCCTTAGCTAAATATTATTTGAACTGACAGCCAACAAAATGACAGCCCACACACAGCTGCATCTTCAACTACAATAGCTCTATGGCAGCAGACACACAAACACCAACTACACACACAGGTTTTCAGGAAGTGATTTTGATGTCAATTAAAAGAGTTGGTTTCAAGTGTCATCTTTGGATTATGTAAACAATTTCTATGTTTATTTATGATTTCAGTTTTGATATATGATTGTTGTTTTAAATTTTGATCAACTCTCACCAACTCTCACCCTCATTCTTTAATTTGTAATGAAATCTTCTCTGATTATCACTATTTTTCTCATCCAAGAGCATACATGTTGTTGACTTCCTCAATAACACATAGACCTATGATTTGATGGCGGAGGATCGTGTGAGAAGGAGAGTTAAGGTGAGAAGCGTAAGAAGGGATTTGGACCCTTGATCGTCTTTAATCTCAAACCCACCCATGAATGACGCTTGATACGGGGATTGATCATGTGCATCTCGGTGCATCTCATCCTAATGTGCATCCAAGGATGGAGATCCCTTCTTACGCTTCTCACCTTAACTCTCCTCACCGGAACCCAACCCGTGACTTGATAAGACTACTAAAACTAAACCCCAGCATTGTTTGAGAATTTGACTTCTCCTGACAATAACTAGGGGGGGTCCAAAGCTAGTGACAATCTGTCTCCTGAAGATAACTACTATCTGGTAAAACATATAACCCACAAAAATAGGTCAGATATGTCGTAAGGAATCACTATGATAAGCACAAAGACATCAGCATACTTATCTGCATATTTTGGCAGCTGCACGCACACACATAGACATATGTGCATATACATAGATATATACATGTACATGTATGTATGTATATACATCCATGTATATGTAAAACTGTCTATGTGTGTGTATATTTATGTACGAATACGTTTGTATATATACGCAGCAAAAATATAACAGTTTTATGTATGCATGTATGTATATACAATTATATGTGTGCATATATACACACAAGGCCCAGGCCTTCCAAGCCCATTTTTCAGTTAGCAAAAAAAGCCCAGGCTTTGAGGTTTGAAAGAGGGCCAAATCCAGCTTTTTCTGGTCGGACTCTAACCGGGTCCGGGTCTTGGGCTTTTTTGTGCCTCTATACATGTGTGTGTATATATATATATATATGTGTGTGTGTGTGTGTGTGTACGAGTGTATACATAAATATATGTATAAACCCCATTCCTTAGCCGAAAGATATGTGGCCATGAAAGTCGAAGGAAGGCTGGAATGACTACAGACGTCTACTATTGAATTCACCCGAACCAATAGACATAGTACCCGTTCTATCATGTTCCATCAACACACTAAATGGATTATACGATATATCTGGTGTGGAAGTAGGCCAACATTTTTATTGGAAAGTCGGGGTTACATATATATATATATGTGTGTGTGTGTGTGTGTGTGTGTGTAAAACATATAGGTCTCCTACTATTGGTCGGCTCATCCAACAGCCTCACCAATGGAAATAAAAAATCACAAATCTTCCAATGGTCACTATAAGGGAACCTAAGGCCAGTGAAAGACATCATTATACCAAAAGTAATTGTAATTGGATGAAACAAAACAGGCAAATCACAAGTTCTGTTATATGATGTAGAATAGTAATCGGATACGGATTAATGGAGAGTTATAGATAGACTCTAATAAGAATTGCTTATCCCATATTGTTAGGAGTTGTAGTTGTCGTCTATCTCCTAACCTCTACTTGTATATATAGTTCCTTATGTTGTAATCAACATATAGTAGAAAATAACATTTCTCCTACTTCTCTAAAGCTTTTATATGATCTCTACAAAATTTTCCGGAAGTCAAAAGGCACCACTTGTTAAAAAATTGTAACAAAACAGAGTCCCATAAAGCATGTGTGTGAGAGAGTTGGCATAAATTAAGATGGTGATCAACATAAACATCAATAAGGTTAAGCAGCTCACCCTCCTGCTCTCACAAGTTTAGTTACTTGGCTTCCAGCCCAGACCATGGCCATCAATTTCACAAATCTGCAACATTGTTATCCGATTCAAATTATCACTACGATACTTATAGTAATGATGTGACAATGATAGTGATGAAGAAGAAGAAACACCTTTTAACCGCTGTCCAATAACCCATCTTCCCAGGTGCTGGGGCAATGTAGAACCTAGACCATAAATAAACATAATTCATGTTAAGTGGATTTGTGAAGAGCAGAGTGAACTGTAAAACATATAAAGGAAGAGGGAGATGATCCTGCTGCAATAGATTGCCAATCTCCCCCTTTTGTTTACTAAGAATCAATATACTTGGTTGCTTTTTATATAATTCAGTTTTAAGCTTTGAGGATAAGAAACGTGGATGATAATATTAATGGTTCTTCAAACTAAACTATACACATCTGTTGATTAAGTGACATATTAATTGACTTATATGGACCCAGGTTCCAACTACGATGTTACTGTTGGTTAAAATTGTGAACTTACTACACAGTGGATAGTACAGCAGAATCAAATAAATGAATTACTTTTCTCACGACGTATGTTTTATGTGAGGCAAATGACAAGGTTTTTGTGTTGGTAATACTACTACAAGATTAATCTGTTAAAAGAGGTCAAAGACTGACTAATGTTCTTGTCACTCCCTTACATCTTCCTCACTAGAGATTAATCCAGTGCATAAATCAAGCAGACTGCAAACTGCATAAGCATGGATAGAGGAGAAAACAAAGATACACATGGCCCACAAACTTCTGGAATCATAGCTACGTGCTGTGTGAGTAAAAAACTCATTGAAAAGCTTAAGATGTTACACCAAAGCGGGTCATAGTGAATGACCAGATTCCAATTCAAATTCCAAAATACAAAATACAAAATTTGCTTCAGAACAGCCATCAAACATAATAACTGAAACAAATACACTTCATGAGCATGTAACAATATAATTCATTTAAAGGAGCACATGATAGTCACTTGCATAAAAGTTTTAACTGTGAGATGAAAGACTCTAGAGGAAACATAATGATCATAAAACTGTGATCACCTCATCTATCCATTCTTCAGGTAAGTGAATAGTACATTCTTGATGATAGAGTTTCTTATGGCTGCATACTATTACTTATAAATGACAAAGCAGTAAACTGTCAATGTATTTCTAGCCTTGAATTCCTTATTCATGCCTAGGAGTTTCATGATGTAAATGCCAATTTTCATAGAAGCCCAATTAATGTCTTCACCCCTCTAAAGGATGCAAATTCAAGATATGCAAAGGTTAACACTCCAAAATATTGGATTTCTGTCTGCTGCACTAAGGAGTTCATATGAATTTAACAGATATGATATGAAAATAGCGTGTATGTAATTTTTCAAAAGCAGGAGGTTCCAAGTGATAATGTCATTGTATGACCTAAATATCTAGAAGTGAATTACTCACAGCTATTAACTATTTAGGTACAAAGCACTTACCAAGCGATGAGAAAGGCAGAAAGATAATAAGCAGTGTTCAGTAGCCCGTAGGACAATATCCCTGAAATTCCATATCTTCTAAGCTTTTCCAATATCCTGAGAATTCCATGAAAAATAACACCAGTAAGAAACAAATCTCATGATACAAGTCCCAATGTTATTCACTATTCCCGCAATGGCTTCATCCCATAATTGATGAGCATTTTGCTTAAAAAATGTAAACAGCAACAGTCCTTTATTGTTTTTATCTGCAAATCATCACACATCACTATTTAAATACTAACCATAAGAATAGAAATTCAATTTTGTCACCAAAAATGTCAAAGGAATTTGATACAATTTATAAAAATTTGAGCAATTATGTGTGAAATTTGATGAGTAAACTGTAAACATATTGAAACTTGACAAAAGGGAGGACATGATGCTGTTTGGGTTTTATTGAGCGCCAGATTGCCAGTTGATGCAATATCTGAACAATTCTAGAAAGCCCAAACACCATTCGTCATAAGCGTCCAGAACTCCATCATGAACTGGAGAGACTCATTATGTAAAGTACCCAGGACAATGATACAAATCAACATGAAGTAAACGCATCCACAATGTGAAACTGAATTGGGTTGGGTAGTCCTGAGTATTGGAATCTTAAGTTCATATAACGATGGAAACAACTTGACCATGCTTGTCCAGCTGGTAATATGTGTATGCATGTATTTGTGTGTATATAAAAGCAAAAGTGAAGAAAGGAGAAAGGTGCAGAAGGCTAGACACCTACCAGTATCATCCGTAACACAGCTTGATTATGAGAGCTATCTGTCTTCCTAATGGTTTTAAAAACCAGTATACTTTAATTTTCCAAAATCAACATATTAACAATGATATGATCATATGAAATGCAAGGTGATTTCCAGGATCCGACTGCTATTATCCCAACATAAGGATAACTAGAAAACCTCCTTTATAGGTTTGCCTTTATATACATGAAATGAGTTAACAGCTAATAAAGTCAAACAGAAATATAGAATAACAGAACTAATAATAAATACAATAGCCTGAGCAATAGTAATGAAAGGCAAGTAGTTAGTACTCATGTGATGAGGATGACTTTCCTTGACTTTCATTGCCTTCCCCTGAACCCAAAACAGAACATGTGAAATATTCAGGAGCTCTGCATTAGAAGTAAGTTCTCATATGTAGCATCGCTATTGAGTCAAAATAATTCTATTAATCAATACCTTCGTGTTCTACGGAGCTGCTGGAAAGATCTGATAACCCATGAGGCTAACCTTAAAGTTAAGAGTCAACATTAGCAATATACTAAAAAATTGCAAATCAACATGTAGTTAGCAACACGAACATCACTTTGAATCTAAGTTAGATAAATAGAAGCCACTAACAAGGGATGTCCAATAGGTCATATGTTAGGCACGAAAGTACACATGCAACAAATTGTAACAGATTCTCTATTGTATTTTATATTGCTAAATCCTCCACCTTAGCAGATTCCAGGTTCCAATAGGGTCCAATATAGAAGTACATGCAGGAAGAACATCAGTATTATGAAAACAGATAAAAACATCACTCATTTTCTCTCTTACACTGGAAACATACACATATACACACATCAGGACTAGGACTACTGTGACGCTGTTTCTTCTTAGCTCCTTTATGTGAATTCCATGAAAATTGCAAAGTTTGAATCTATATACGCATCTAAACCCTAAAATACCGACAGGCAATCGAATATAATTTATTAAAATCAACATTATTAACACTTCATACAATGCTCAAACAAGAAATTTTAGCTTAAAACTTCGCTAAAATAGCAGACAACTTGACACATTCAAACATGAAAATTGTTAAATTTGTAGGAATATCGTGTAAAAAAAAGGAACCAAACTCACATCGCCACCACGTACACACCGGAGTTGTAGACATTCCCCTGTGATTTGAGCATGCTTCAAATGAAACCGCAAGTGAAAGCGAGTAGAAGAAGCAACAGGAACGTCTAATGTGTGAAAACCACACCTGACCTACAGCATTTGTCACAAAAAACACCCAAATTAGCAAGAGATAGAGCATAAATCAATAAACTGAGGTTACCGGTAGCATTACATACATGGTGGGGATGAGGTAGAGTGTTGAATCGCATACAAGTGATGCAAGACATAGGATTAAAGTATGAAAGGAGACGATAATCGGAGAATTTCGAGTGCTACAATTTCTGGTTTTCCGTTGTATAATTCTTGGCAAACGTTTCCAACAGGGGTGTTCGCGGTCCGGTTTGGGCAGATTAACCCCTCAAACGACAAACCAAACCATATTGACGGTTTATAAAATTTTCAAACCGAGCGGTTTGATATCAATTGTCCAGATCGGTCAAACCAGATCATGAAAAGACGGTCTGGTCTGACAGGTTTAGGCGGTTTGGGTTTTTAATGGACTTTAAATATTAAACTTAAAAAACATATATAATTTAGAATTTTAGATTAAATATCTATTTTAACAAAACAAAATATCTGAACAAATAAATGTAATAATTAAGCAGTTCTTGAGTACAAAGTCGAAGCAATCCAAAGTACAAACAAATAAATATATAACATATAGAAAACAAACAAATTAACAAAGTTATAACTCTATTGTGGGTATTGAATAACAAAATTCACGACTTTACAACCTTCAATGGTTCAATTCTTGAGTCTCAAGTTCTTGACCAAACAAAATAGAAGCCAAATCTAAGTTGGTTGAATCACTTGGTTGATGTCTTGATGATGTGTGCCGAAATCAAACCATGGATTAGAAAGATCAACAGATTGATGGAGTTTTTGAGGGATTTCAAAATTTGGAGACCGTCAATAACAAATGTGTCGATATGTTTAATGATTTTAGTCATCGATTTTGATTATGTTAGATGTTAGGCTAGGAATATATTTGGGTCATAACCAATAAGTTAAAAATGTTTGGCTTGCTAATATATATATATATATATATATATATATGTAGGGTTGGGTTCACGTGAGATCAATAGATTTTGGTGAGACCCGTAAGACCCACTTATATCCATTGATCAATTTTTATAGATAATGATCCAACGATTGAAATTTAGCATAAAATTTAAACTGTAGGGGTATTTTTGACCAATATAAATTTTATTTTTTAACCTTACGATAAAAAACAAATGAAAATTGATTCTTACCGCCATGATCGACTTCGTCTTCTTCCTGTGATGAACTCGATATCTCTCTCTAACGATCTCCTCTTTCTTCGACCAGTAAACATTGATTGAATGCATCAATTGGTCCAGTGCTTTGATTGAAGATCTTCAATTGACAACTCCGACTACCATTTAACCTACATCACAAAAATTCATCCAGGATGTCGATTTCAATAGAAATTGACATTGACGTTGCCTCAATTCTGCACTGAATTCTCTACCTTAATTCAAGTAAGAAAACTTTTACATAAAACGTAATTTGTTTATTTTTAATTTTTGCTTTCCTTATAATATAGTTGATAAGAATGTAGGCTTTGATCTAGGTTTTAAGATATTTCAGTCTCAGGGAAAAGGATGTCTAATGAAGATGATCAGCAACTTATCTCAAACAATGTTTTCGACAATGCATATGGTAATTAAGGCCATTAGCTTAATTTGAATGATTGTTTTTGTTGTGAAGATTCATTAACTGGATGCAACTATTCAAAACTCCCTAAAAAGATGTTTTTACATATTCTGATTGTAGGAGAAAGAATGTCTAATGAAGATATTCACAAGATAATCTCAGATGATGTTAATGATGGTGAACAATGTAATCAAGGTCATTGGTTTCTTTTAACTGATTGTTTTTTTTTTTTTCATTTTGGAGGTTTTTAAACTGAATATGCTTGTACTTTTTAAGGAATATCTTAACATAAAGCATTAACACAGAGTATAGCATTGCACAAAGTAACTACCTGATTGAGGAATAGTAAAATTGGCCATACCTTCACAACAGGCATGCTGTGAAGGATGTTGGGCAGATCATGGTTTGCTTCACAAAA